CCGGGGGCAGGTTTAAGGATTTTAGAGATGCTTAGGTGGGGCATGGCCAAAAGAAGTTTGGGAACCACTGATATAATGTGTTATCATCCATTGATGATCCTTGCCTGAACTGGTTGATTTTATTAGGAATTACAAAATAGTGATTTCTGTTGGCTAGATTTCTTTGATAAAGAAGCACTGTCCCTTATAAACTTGGGCTCTTCCCTGTTGGTTTGGGTAGGAAAGGCAGAGTAAATGTGCATGATTTTTTCCCTTTAAGTTAACAGTTATCAGCGTGAGGAGTCGGTGTCCTAGTAACTGCCAGTGGGGGCTCTTGTTGCTGTTCTTGCATGTGATTGTGTGTTCTCCTTTCTTAAATATCATAATGTTCTGGGGATTTTATCCAGTCGGGATTGGTTCTTTACAGTAACTTATTTTGATGGCTGGAGAAATTGTCCTGTCTTTGGCCAACAGGAGCGCCTTCATTTTAGCTCCTCTGTCTATTTGACTTGAAAGTCTTAGGTAACTTCTGTGCGTTCTGGCACAAGAAGATGGCTTATCCTGGGCATTTCTAAGAAAGCAAACTAACATCTCTTTTGAGGGAAAATAGTAATTTTTCACTTTTAAAACTTTAAAAGTTTGATTTTAGCGATTATTAAGCTAATTGATCATAAAAAGCATTCAAGATATATTAGAAGACACCTATAACTGAGTATTATGCCACCTTTCTAATAGGAAATGGCTAGTGATGAGCTCAAAGAGATGAGGAAAAACTTGACCAAAGAAGCCATCAGAGAGCATCAGATGGCCAAGACGGGCGGAACCCAGACTGACTTATTCACATGTGGCAAATGTAAAAAGAAGAATTGTACTTACACACAGGTTTGTGCTTGCTTATAGATTCTTATTTTTATATTAAGAATCCTTGCAATTTTTTTCAAAACAAGGAGTGATAATAATTATCAATATACTTTGATATTTTTCAAGAGGTAATGTGATCTCTTAAGGGTAAGAATGCTTTCTTAATATTAACAGATTCCAATTAGTTGTAAGTAAGTTGATCTGTTTATACTTTCATGGAAATTGTTGCTGTGAAAGCTATATCAATTAAGTAAAATTTATAAAATATAGAATTTAGTAAAATGGCCATGTTCTTTCTCTAAGGTTAATAAATAGTTGGTTAGAATGTAAACAGGTTATTATTCTTTTTATTTGGTAAGCTCTTATCCTCCTTTCTATATAATAAAAGGCTAATATGCAAATTGTCCCCTGGACCAGGAGTTCAACCAGGGGGCAGGGCTGACCAACTGCCCGTAGCCCCTCCCCATGTCCAGGAGCCCCCCCACCTGACCAGTCCCCGTCCCCCCCGCCCCCAGCTGAACCAGGGGCGGGCCCAGCCGGCCAACCTCCCACGTCCCCTCCCCCTGGCTGGCCCTGCCTGATTGGCCATGAATTCATGCATGGGGCCTCTAGTAATTTAAAGAATGTTCTTTATTCTCCCTTACATCGACTTAGTACTTTTAGCTAAAGTGGTTTCTAGGTATTTAGTCATTTTTGCAACATGATGACTTTTATATTCATAAATGATATGATTAACTTTCCTTTTTGTTCTTTGTTGTATTGTTCTTGAACAGCTAAAAAGAGCCATGCTACAGTTATTTCAGTTACATGTGCATATGTGAAAATGGTATTTTATCACTATCATTTAGTTTCATTTGCCAAAAACGTTTTTGTGCTGTATCTATAGTATGCTAACTCAGGATTTTTTTCCTTGAAGGAATAACTTACTGTTGTATTTCAGGTTAATGGAGATATTTAGGGAATTTAATATTCTGCTTGACAGAAAATTAAGCACTTAAAAAATAACATTACTAAACTCTATATAAATTGTAGGAAGGAACCTTTACTTTTATATATATAAAAATACTATATTTGCAACGTTAAAAATCCAAAAGGTACAAAAGATTAACATGAATAGAATGCCCCCCACCCCCCACAAGGATGGCTAGTTTGTTAGGTGGCTTTCTACATGTTTTATGTATATACTTGCAAACATAAATATGTTACTTTTGTGTTTTTATAAATACTTTGGTAGCATGTTTTATAAGCTTCTGCCTCTTTTTTATATTTTAAAGGTGTATAAAACTTTGTTTTCAGATGTATGTTATTTAAACAGTCCAAAGTTCTTTACCTTTTTGAAGTGTTTCATTTAGTCATAGTTGTACATCTGATATTTCAGTATTTTTATTTTGTAGAAGTATTACTACTGATAGTTACTAAAATATATCAGCATATGAAAGTGGTCTCATAAAATTCTAAGTTGAAATTGCTTTATTTTCTTTTATCAGTAGAAAAATCTCAGCAATAAAAATTCTATCCTAAAAATGCCACATAGTAAAATTAAGTATAAATAGAAAGGTATTTAAAAGTTAAATCTTTGAAACTTATAAACAGCTATGATAAAAAACAACATTGTGTCTTTTAACAGAAAGAACCTAGTTTAGAGATGAAGTCAGTATGATTTTCTTAGAGTCAAAAAATCCTCTCTCTTGTGCTCGCTTCGGCAGCACATATACTAAAATTGGAACGATACAGAGAAGATTAGCATGGCCCCGGCACAAGGATGACACTCAAATTCGTGAAGTGTTCCATATTTCTTAAAAAAACAAAAAACCTCTCTTTAGATAGAAAATTTCCAAATTTGTTGGCAAAACAACCAACATAAAAGAGTTAAGTGTGACTCTTGGCTAACAAGTACCCACCAGGAGATCGAAATTTTTCCCAGAGACCAAAAGGTTCCTATATTAGCTTTTAGGGCCCTATGGAGCAATATTAAGTACTAGAGGCCCGTTGCATGAAGAAATTCATGCAATAGGCCTTCCTTCCCCTGGCTGCTGGTACTGGTTTCCTCCGGCACCCGGGACCCAGGCCTTCGCTCCGACTGCTACAGAGAAGCCAACCCTCTTCAGTCTTCAGTCATCTTCAGTCTTCGCATGGTGCCTGCATATGCAAATTAACTGCCATCTTTGTTGGGTTAATTTGCATACGAATCCTGATTGGCTGGTGGGTGTGGCGGAGTGACACCAATTTGCATGTTTCTCTTTTATTAGTGTAGATATGTAAAATATTTCAGAAGGATTTTTTAAACCATTTTTATCTGAAGGCCTTAAATAGGCAAAATGCTGCTGTTTTGAGACTGATTCTTTATCTTTGGGCTTTTGAGTTAAAAGTCATGTTTATAATTGGTTTCATGGAGCTTCTGATCTTTGAAGTGGTGATATACTGGGATTTTATCATATTAAAATTAAATATACCTATTCAAAATGCAGTATTGTTAGAATTTAAGTTCTTGCCTTGACCCATCTTCCTCTTCCCCATATAAACTAAAGAATAACTTTTAACTTTAATACTGCTTTGCCAAATTCATTTAGAAGTATATACTTTAAGAGAAATGATTCCTATTTTTGAAACCTTTAGTTCCAGTAATGTCAGAAGTCTCTAACCTTGTGTAGATAAAATCTTTAAAAAATCATATTAGCTTATTTATTTTTGCTGAGTTATCTCTTTAATTTTTAAATTAAAAAAATTAAAATTTTTAATTGTAAAAGAAACAACTTAAAAACTTACTATAAAGCTCCTCTTGCAAAACCGAACCTCTGTACCCATTAAACAGCAACAACTTCTCTTCCCCTCTTCTTCCCAGCTCCTGGCAACCACCAGTTTCTGAATTTGACTATTTTAGGTAGTCAGATGAATAAATGGAGTTACACAATATCTTTATTTTTGCGACTGGCTTATTTCACTTAGCATAATGTTCATAAAGGTTTATCCATATTGTAGCATGTGCCAGAATTCCTTCCTTTTTAAGACTGAATAATAATCCATTGTATGAGTGCACAAATAACATCTTTGAGACATTGTTTTCAGTTTTGAGAATATATATATTTAGAAGTGGGATTGCTGACTCATGTGATCATAGCAGGCATTATGACCTATTACAAACAAGCCATCCTGCTCTATCATCCAGTGCCTCAATGGTCCACATAGGTGACCTTGGCCACATAGATGTTCATGAAGGTATCATTGTCTATGCACCCATGAGTCATTCTCTCACCCCATGGGTCCACATTGGTTTCCTGTCATCAGGCTATTCTCAAAGGTCCTTTACTCTTTTACTTAGTAGCTCACTTACTTTCTTCGGTAACACTTGGCTACTCGTTGGCTACATTCTTTCCACTTTTCCTTTTTTTTTTTGTCCTGGACATTTAATGAAATCATATATAGAACCAAAATATTTCATTAGTAAAGAATAATAGTATATGCCTTCCATTAAATGTTTTAATTTGTGCTAAAACAGAAATAGAAACAGTGTTTGGAAGATGAAATCCAATTATTCTGAGATTTGGGTTTTCAAACATATTTTGAACCATGTTCTCTGTCCTCTAGTACAGCCCTCCTACATGAAATTTATGTCATTTACAAAATCTACATTTCCTACTTTGGGCACTATTACCACTTAATGATGTTGGTATTTTATTTTAATTCATTGAATATGTTTTTTATAATTTTTTATCAATGCTTTAATTTGTTTAGTTATGTAAATTCTGATGATTTCTTATAAAGTATTTTTAAATTATATTTTCTTGTTTATTGTTCAATGCATTTATGTAAAAAATATTCCAAATACTTTTTCTTTAACTTAAAAGAAAAACTGAAATTGTAAAGACATTGAGACTTACAATTATTATATTGAGTATGATTTTATCATGCTTACCTTTCTTTCTTTAGATCCTGAGAATATTAAACCTTCCCATATGAATGTGATTTTTTTGCCTTTTTACTATACTATCTCTGTTGCTCTGTTTTTTTCTAATTTTTCCAGTCTTTTATTTCACTTGAATATTAATGTTACCACATTCCCTAAATATACAGATAGCTAGCAATCAATGTTTTGCTTTTAAAAGTAAAAAGCAATATGAAGTACTTACTTATGGACACTTTGGAAACTACAGAAAAATCTGAAAAAGAAATTTAAATTGCCTATCAATTTGCCATTCAGAAGGAATACGCTAACTGTATGAGGTGATGTAACCTCTATACCAGCCGTGGGCGAACTACGGCCCACGGGCCGGGTTCGGCCCGTTTGAAATGACTAAAACTAAAAAAAAAAAAAAGACCGTACCCTTTTATGTAATGATGTTTACTTTGAATTTATATTAGTTCACACAAACACTCCATCCATGCTTTTGTTCCGGCCCTCCGGTCCAGTTTAAGAACCCATTGTGGCCCTCGAGTCAAAAAGTTTGCCCACCCCTGCTCTATACTGTTTGTCATAATGGCTTTACCAGTTTATATTCTGACCAGTACTGTACAAGGGTTCCCTTTTCTTCACATTCTCATTAACATTTGTTATCTCTTGTCTTTGATAATAGCCATTCTAACAGGTATGAGGTGACATTTCATTGTGATTTTGATTTGCATTTTCCTGATTATTAGTGATGTTGAGCTGTACATAGTATTTCTAATTACCATCTTAGAATAGAGGAGATATCAAGTTTCCAGGTCACAGAACATGGATATTATGTTGTTGCCTAACTTTTAGAAGTAGTTATATTTGTCGAAATGACATATGCTTAATTTTCACATCTTTGCTAATTTGTAAGAGAAAATTGATGTCTTTTAATTAACATTTCTGTGATTCTTAGTGATGATGAATTTTTTTTGTATTTGTTAGTCATTTATAAAAAGTATAAGTGTGACATTAGATGATTTCCCACTTATCTAGAATAAATTAAACATGAACAGACAAGGAAGGAAGGACTTAAAAAAATGAAGTTTGGAAATGTGTTTTCTTCTGATATAAGCTTTATTTGAACTTGTTTCAGGCTGATATATGTATGTGTGTGTGTGTGTGTGTGTGTGTATACACACACACACTAGAGGCCCGGTGCATGAAATTCATGCGCTTGTGGGGAAGGGGGTCCCTCAACCCAGCCTGCGCCATCTTGCAATCTGGGAGCCCTCAGAGGATGTCCGACTTACAGCTTAGGCCCACTATCCTAAGCTGGCAGTTGGACATCCTTAGCACTGCTATGGAGGCAGGAGAGGCTCCTGCCACTGCCGCTGCACTTGCCAGCTTATGAGCCCAGTTCTGGCTGAGTGGCCCTCCCCCTGTGGGAGCACACTGATCACCAGGGGGCAGCTTCTGCATTGAGCGTCTGCCCCCTGGTGGTCAATGCATGTCATAGCAATGGGTCATTCTGCCGTTTGGTCGATTTGCATATTAGCCTTTTATTATATAGGATTTTGTCTTACCATTGTGGTTATTATATATTTCCATGTAGAATGTTCTTATTTAGGTTAAACTTTTTATAGTATTGTAAAAAGTAATATTTTTCACTTGATTTTGCTGCAGGTACAAACTCGTAGTGCTGATGAACCTATGACAACATTTGTTGTCTGCAATGAATGTGGAAATCGATGGAAGGTATGGCGCTTTCTTGAATTCATGTTTTACTCATGTATAATAGAATAATTTCTTCAGGTCTTTTCATAATCCTATGTAGATACCTAAATATATGCATATGCTCACACTGTTTAGCACTATGGGAGTCTATGACTAACCATTTGTAATGGAATATACTACTTTGTACTCTGTTAGAATTAAAGAATCTTAACTTTCCTACCTTCATTTTGTTTTGGTTCAGGAATAACAGGATTGAGTTTTATATGTTTGGTTACTGTATCTTAGTCCTGTATACACGATACTCGTTCATTTGCTTCCACTTTTGTACTCCAGAAAATTTGTTCATATGTATTATTTCTCTTCATAGATTTTGTTTCTGGAAAAATTACTTAGTTGAAATCCAGTCTAATGGTTTTAGTGTTATTTTAGGAATTACAGATGAGCACTGTCATGGTTTGGTAGGGTTTTCACTAAGCCTTCATAGTGCCTATATACTCTTGAATTAGCCCCACACCGGCAAGTTTATGTTACTTAAATGATTCATGCTTGAGTGATTTTTGTGAGCCACAATAATATAATTTAAAATTGGGAGAAGAATTGCAGATTCGTCCTAAGATAATTTTATTATTGTAGACATGAAGATGTTAGGGTATGGGATTGGCAAGGTTCACATAGTAGGAATATAATCTTTAGAGCCAAATAGATTTATAGTTCCTTTGCCACTTACTCTTAATGAACTAATATTTTATCATATATTAAATGTAAATAATACCTACATTAAAGGTTGTGGTGAGGAGTAAAGGTAATATTTTTAAAGCTCCTGATAATTGTTGATGTTCCAAAAATACTGACTGCTTGTACTAATTTTTGTGAAGTTGGTACAAGATTTTTGTTGTTGTTATACTTACATAGACATTTAAGTCTAATGTTTATTTTTAATTATTCACATAAAGCATTTTCAGGTTAAAGCATTTTCTGAAAATCAGAAGTGAATTAAAAGCCAGACAGTGGGGGAATATCCTCTACAAATATGGAATGGGACTTTGGCCCTAGACACTATTTTAGGGGTTGAGACCAATACCCATTTTATTATATACAAAGATTTAATTTTGAGCTGAGAAAGTTACTCGTATTGAGAGTTTCTTCATGGTTTGAAATAGTGTCTCCTATCCTGAGTTGGCAGAGCTAAGAGGGATATTCCTTTTTTTTTTTTTTTCCCAATCCTATTGAGCAAATCTGGCTTTTCCAGATAGCTCCCTTAGACTTGTTTTGTATGATGGAGTATTTTTATTAGTAGTAGTAATACTGGGTTTATAACGGTTTGTTTTGAATACAGGCAGTTTGCAGCATAAGTTCTGACATAGTACCTATTGGATTTAACAAAGTATATTTTAATATAAAAGCTGATGCTATGATGGCTTACTCTAGAAGTTCTAATTTGGAATTAATGTTTTTAACCTGAAAACATTAAGAAGAGAGGTTCTTTTTATTATTATTTTTAAAATTAAATTTATTGGTGTAACAGTAATCAGTATCTATATACAATGGGGCCTTGACTTACGAATTTAATTTGTTCCGTGACGGAGCTTGTAGCTCAAATTACTCGTATGTCAAATCAATTGTGAATGAGTGACACGTGATGCTGGGCTGATGTTGTGGCGTTCACTGTGATGTTCGCTGCGCCAGCTAGCAGTGGGGTATCTGAAGCTGGCTTGTAACCTGAATTTTAGCTTGCAACTCAAAGCAAAAAATCGGCCAATAGACGCGTTGTATCTCAAAAAACTCGTTAGTTGGGAGGTGCATGGATTTGGGCATCAGTGGAGTCCCTCAGCCTGGCCTGCGGGGATCGGGCCAAAACCAGCAGTCTGGCATCCCCCAAGGGGTCCTGGATTGTGAGAGGGTACAGGCGAGGCCAATGCACGAATCCGTGCACCAGGCCTCTAGTAATTTATGATACATATCTGTATAGTGTGCTCACCACCCAAAGTCTAGTCTCCTCTATCATCATATATTTGACCCACAATACCCTTTACATCCTCCTCCAAACCCCCTTCTTTGGAACCTACCATACTGTTTTCAGTGTCTAAAAGAGAGGTTCTTGATTTTTAAAAATTTTATGCTACTTTAGTTACATATTTCTACTAATTCTAAGTTGGAGAAGTCAAACACTTAAGAAAGCTGATTATTTATATCTGAAAAATATGGCGTCTTTTAAAAAAAAATCTCTTTCTTAGCAATATAAAGTGTATGCTGTGTTAAATGGGAGAAGGGATACACCCTATTGTCTTATTTAATGGTCTTACAAAATATTTCTTCTTTTTTGACAGTTCTGTTGAGTTGGAAGAATTGGGAAAATGTCTGGACCATTGAGAAAATGGATTTTGTAACTGGCTTTAAAACTAGGCCAAGGAAGTAGTTTTTCTGCAAATCAGATTTTTAAAGAAAATGCATCCCTTGGGTTAGTCTTTGTTTTTGACATAGTATCATCCTTTCGTAAATGCCCGTACTTTCAGATCAGTAGGGAACTACATAATAATTATATGGTATCTATTTCAATTTTTTTTCATTTTTATAAGTAATTGATATTAAATTTTTATCAATTAAATTTTTGGCAATTTATTTTTACCTTTTTTTCCTTAAAGGAAAATTACCTTAACTTTTTTACAGTCTGAAACAAACTCAGTAGAAATGTAATTCTTCTCAGTTAATACATAAATGAAAATTACATTTTTTCTTTATTGGCATGTACCTGCAAATATTAAAGGAGGAGAAAGGTAATATAATTGTAAGTTTATTAAATGTGGTGTATACTTGACCAGCTTATCTAAATTGTACATAATATTTGAACTAGCATATGAAATTGTTTTTAATTATTATATTCACAAATCTGGGATAATTAGATATTATTTTGCATTTGTAACTAATCGTGATCATTATTTCTTGTAATTTCTTGTACATGTTTATTACTTGTTCTTAATGGATTTTACTTTTGGAAACATGACTTGGCTTTGTTGGAATCAGTTCAGTTTTGTTTTATGTACCTGTTTGAATTTATAGTATTTTAGTTTTGCAGAACACTGCAATGGCAAAGAATGAAAGTGTCTATTTTCCCCTCATAGGAAGATATACTGGGAAGGAAATGTTAGTGTTTTAGTATAGTGTAGTTATTAAAAATAGCTCATAGATTTTGATTTGGAAATCTATACTGGCCAAGGATTAAGTATAAAGATTATATAAATCTTTCCATCTTGAGGTTGATAGAAAATATTTTTGTTCGAGTCTAATAAGTTGACCTTTTCTGTTAATGAGGCTGTTGAACAAACTGAATATATGGGCTATAATGCAACTCGTTTTATAGTACAGATGTTATAATTAGGTTTTACTTTTTGTTTAAGTGTTTACCATTTATTCCGTTAGGAATAAGAAAAATTGATTTTCACATAAGTTCCTTAGTGTATGCTTGCTCTAGCACATCTTAAAGGCCACTGTTAACAAAGCCCACAACTTATCATGCTAAATCTATATTCTATCAGACACCTACAGAAAGACCTCAGTACATGCTTTCACTCCCCTCTGCTCCCATTTCTCATTTCTTATTGGAAATCAGTTTGATATAATACCGAAGACAACATTTAAAGGTCTTTGTTAAGACCTCTCATATATAAGAATTGGCCCCTGGTATCATTCCATCTTTACTTTGTCAGTTCACAGATTAACTTTTTGTTTTAGCATTTGAAGAGTAAAGTGCATTTTGAAAAAATGAGTTTTAAAAAGAAAAAAACATTAAAATAGTTCCACTTTTAGATTAAGCGATGCATTTTAAAGTTTGTAATTCAAATAAAGTTTCTTGTTATTAAATTGTATCACATTTGTCATTTTTATTTAACATTGAAGCTTGCTTTTCCTTTTGTTTAAAAAGTCCTCCTCCCCCAACTAGTAAGATGTTCTTAAACTACAGTTTTAATTAAGTGATGCCTGCTGGTTTTAAGAAAAAGCTAGTGTTGAACAGTAGTACAGAGGATGTTTCTCTTTTTCTGAACCCTTGGTTCTATTGGTTTTAGTTTTGGTGTCACCTCCGTTAAAACTTTTCCATAGTCCTAGCCAGTTTGGCTCAATGGATAGAATGTTGGCCTGTGAACTGAAGGGTCCTGGGTTTGACTCTGGTCGAGGGCACATGCCCGGGTTGCAGGCTCAATCCCCAGTAGGGGGCATGGAGGAGGCAGCCAACCAGTGATTCTCTCTCATCACTGATGTTTCTATCTCTCTCTCCCTCTCCCTTCCTCTCTGAAATCAATAAAAATGTATTTAAAAAGCCCTAGCTGGTTTGGTTCAGTGGATAGAGCATCGGCCTGCAGACTGAAGGGTCCCAGGTTCGATTCTGGTCAAGGGCACATGCCCCAGTTGCGGGTTCGATCCCCAGTAGGGGGCGTGCAGGAGACAGCTGACCAATAATTCTGATGTTTCTATCTCTCTCCCTCTCCCTTCCTCTCTGAAATCAATAAAAATATATATTTTAAAATGTATTTAAAAAAATAAAATAAAAGGTAACTCCTACTGTTTAAAAAACACACAAAAAATCTTTCCATAGCTCTTCAAGACTTCAATAGCTCAGTTCTTCACTGTTAGAATGCTTACTACATACAGTTAAAGTACTTACTAAGTTAGTACTTTAGATGCCATGAGCACGTCTGTCCTTACCTGAATGAAAACTATTAGAGGGCAGGGGTTATGCCTTAATCACAATTATGTCCTCTTTGTCTAATGAAAAAAGTGAGACTCCTAGGTAAGGGGTTGATGCCTTGAAAAGGAGAAAACACATTATTCTCTGGAACAGGACTGAAGGAGGCAGGAATAGATGCTGATCTATACATATTTATAGGTTACACAGGAAGTTGAAGGGGGTTAGGGACACAATTGTCATAATAGAGTAGGAGGTAAGATGGTTTACCAAGAAAATAAGGGCGAGGGGGTTAGGTTTGGGGTTTGAACAGAGTAATTCAGAAATCGTCAGGCTGAAGAGCCAAGTGCGGGAGATCACCAAGAGAAGAGCATCCTGTGCCCTGGCCCCTGTGACTCAGTTGGACGTCATCCCATACATGGAGAGTTGCCCGCTCGAGTTCTGGTCTGATTCCTGGTCAGGCACATGCCGGGGTTGTGGGCTTGATTCCCAGTAAGGGTTATACAGGAGGCAGTCGATCAATGTTATGCTCTCACATTGATATTTCTCTTTCTCCTCCCTCTCGCTAAAAAATAGGGGGGAAAATCTTTTTTTTTTTAAAGCACCTCATTTAGGGCTGAAGTGTGCTATGAGCTCTTGCCAATTAATTTCTAACCCACTACTCAAACCATTCCAGATTTGGGTGTTTTTCGCAATCACCTCATTTTAGATGTCTTTCCCATTCATTTTAGTGATGGGTTTCTTCAAGACTTTTAGGTCTACAGACCAGTATTTTTATCAGTCAACTATGAAGTTACTTCATTTGCCTATCATAAAAATAGTGGGATTTAAAAACAAAATCCTTGTGTGGGAGCTAAAAGATATCTTGCGTGTCTCCCTACTTGATCTATTTCCCAAGTATTTGCATGTGAAAAAAGTAAAGATTAAAGTAAAACTCTTAAGCTTTATTTTTTAGAGTGAAAATGCCCTCATTTCTTTCAAGAATAAAATGGAAATATGCTTCTTTGAAAGTTTTGTTAGGAACATGACCAAGTTGTGAACTTAAAAATTCATGTGTTAGGTTGGCAGATTCTGATAAAATAATGGTAAATTTTCAACAAAATAATTTTCTAAGCACTACTTCTCTTACCAAACATTGAGATGGATGCACTTCAGAGCACTGTGCTTCACATTAACCAAGGATAGATACACACACACATCTATGTATTACATACATAGAATCTCAGATTAAGGGGAAGTCCATTGTTTTTATAAGTGGTCCCATCTTTATGAAATGGGAATTTGGGTCCTCTAATGGCCCTGGTAAGTGAAGTATCCAAAACTGAGCTTGATGGACTGAAGGGGTCGTTGAGAAACAGCTGAATGTCTTTTCTTCGGGAAGAGAGTAATCAGGTACTGAACTCACGCAGAACGAAAGCAGTCCTGGTGCCCCAGTGGGTGTCCATGCTCCAGGTGGGTGGAGTCTTGTAGGGGATCCCTTGCCATTCAGAACGTGCGCTTGTAATTGTAAATGTAAATATACTATCTTTCTAAGACAGCCATGTCCATTTTTTCATAAGTAGCACTAACGGTGGCTGCAATTTATACTGAACATGTAGCCTTCTGCAGAAGAAAGCATCTGTTATTAAAATAGCCCCGTATTAGTCCAGCAGAAGACCCTGGCTGCTACCTCTAAATTCCCTGTACTAGACATAGTCCATGAGTCTTTATTATTTTATTAATAATAAATATAGTTGATAACATCCTATGTTTCAGCGGATTTCTCAGATAAGGACTGGAGCAAATCTTTATAGACAGCAGAATTCATGAATCGGGGATATGAGTCTCTGTGCATTAAGGTGTAAATCTGAAGTTGCGCATCATCGAATATGTGTTGGGATGGCTCCACCATGTTCCTATTGATGACTTCTCTGACTCGGGAGTCTAAGCTGACCTGTGAACAGAAACAAATAAGAGTTGTATTAGATATGTTTCTCTTTGGAAATCCATACCAAATTCCCATAGCTTGTTCTGGTTTTTAAAAATCCCAAACCCATGCCTGACCGGTTTGGCTCAGTGGATAGAGTGTCGGCCTGTGGACTGAAGGGTCCCGGGTTTGGTTCTGGTCAAGGGCATGTACCTTGGTTGCGGGCACATCCCCAGTGGGGAGTGTGCAGGGGGCAGCTGGTCGATGTTTCTCTCTCATTGATGTTTCTAACTATCCCTCTCCCTTCCTCTCTGTAAAAAATCAATAAAATATATATTTTTTAAAATCCCAAAGTCACCCCAAAATTGAGCCTGACAAAGAGAAACTGAACACATACTGAGGTTCTCAAATTTCAGTGGCTTCAAAAGCTCCTAGAAGGCTCCTTAAAACAGATTCTGGGTCCCCCCCTGGGTTCATCTAATGCCTCTTCAATGTATCTCCATCATTCCTGTCCCACCCCACTGTTGATTGCTCACTGCACCAGCCCATTAGGATCCTGAGGCAATGGTGGGGGTGAGGGTGGAGGGCTCCAAGTCACTCTGCCCCCTTATGTGAGAGTTCTCTGGCAGTAGAGGCAATGTTTCATTAACTTTATATTCTTAGCACATATTTGGAAATAATGAATGATTTTATAACTAGAACCACAAGGCACTTAGTTTTGAGATCAACCTAACCTAGATTTTGGAATTGAAAGAACAAAAACTCTTGAGAGATGAAAACTTGCTTGATTTCACTCATAATTTCTCTGATATTAAAATAGGACACTGGGGAAAACCTTGGAAGAATCAGTATCATGTTAGTGATGCTACCATATAAAATAAAGATACCAGGGGACATCGTAATACTTTCAACAATAAAAATTTAAAAATAAGTTAAAATAAAGATACTATAAAAAAGATTTTGAATCAGAATAAAGGGATACTTTATTTAAAGAAATGCTTATACTATTTTTAAACAGTATTAATAGTGAAATGCATAGACTACCCCTTTTGGAGAATCTGATGAAAGTTACGGGTACTTTCTCCAGAAAAATGGAGAAAATCTCTCCCAGATTTCAGGGTGTACTTGGAGCCCATTGTGGGACCATGGTCAAAGGAATTAGAATACACTTGACTCTTGAACAACACAAGGGGTAGAGGCCCTGACCCCATGCAGGTGAAAATCCATGTATAACCCTTGACTCCCCAAAACTTTACTAATAGCTTACTGTTAACTGGAAGCCTTATTGGTAACATAAATAGTTGATTAGCTCATATTTTATATGTTATGTGTTTTATATACGACTAGAGGCCCAATGCATGAAATTCGGGGCTTGGCCCTCGCAGCTGTGGCAGCTTACCTCAGCCCTCACAGCCCTGGCTTCGTCCAGAAGGTCGTTCGGCTGTATGGTTTAATTAGCATATGATGCTTTTATTATTATAGATATTCTCATAATAAAGTAAGGTAGAGAAAAGAAAATGTTATTAAATGACAAGGAAGAGAAAATATATTTACAGTACTCCTGTATTTATTAGGAAAAAAACCTGCACACTTAAAATCAGGATTCTTGCCCAGCCAATGTGGTTCAGTGGTTGAACATCCACCTATGAACTAGAAGGTCACAGTTCCATTCCAGGTCAGGGCATATGCCTGGGTTGTGGGCTCGATCCCCTGTGTGGGGTGTGCAAGAGGCAGCCAATGGATGATTCTCATTATTGATGTTTCTATCTCTCTCTCCCTTCCTCTCTGAAATCAATAAAATCCTATATAATAAAAGGCTAATATGCAAATTGTCCCCTCAGGAGTTCGTGCTGACCACCAGGGGGTGGCACGGAACAAAGGAAGGCCTGTCCAGCATATGGCAGCCAGGGGAAAGAAGAAGGCCCCGGCCGGCAGCCTGAAGGCCCTAATTGGCCCTGATCGCCGGCCAGGCATGGGGACCCCACCTGTGCATGAATTTCATGCACCGGGCCTCTAGTTTTATATATATAAAATTCATTAAAAACAAAACAAAGCAGGGTTGTTCAAGAGTAACAGCACTAGGGATAGGAGGTAAAGTCATTTCCTATGTTTTGGAGTAGCTGTAACTGTGCCAGGTAACCAAACACAGAAGGGTTCATTTTATCCATGGGCTCCTGGAACAAAACCTTTTGGTAGGTACATACCTCTTTAGGAGAAAGAATAGAAATGTAGTCTTCATATATTGTCCTTGCCTTTTCCTCAATAATGCTTTTATTAGC